CAGTGACAGTGCTGACCAAGAGCAAAGGAGAACGCACCACCAGGCTGCATTTAGGCCCATAAAGTCAAAATTCCTAATCCAAGGAGCAAGGCTGTGACCAGAATAACGTGGGTACAGACGTATGTGTGAACAAGGCATTTCATCCCTTTATGAGGGATTATGTGCTCTGATTTTATTTATTTTTTTGAAGCTCTGCGTATATAAATTCACATTTAGTCATGACTATAAACACCAACCACAGAACCCAGCCTGACAAGGATGGTCAATAAACATTTGAAACACTCCAGAAAGGGGCATTAGGATGTTTTTAAATCAATACAGACATTGCCAGAGGCGTTCATCATCAAGACTGGCTATTAAAACTCAAAATGAATTGATGCCTTTTGAAAGCAGCAGTTTTCCGGACCAAGCACAGTATGAACATGTCAACGTTATTACAAATACAGTTGGAACCATCTAAAACTGGTGAACATCCCATTTTGCAGAAGGAGCCTCGCGTTATATAAGTTGCAATGACTTAAGGAACCTTTCAGATGCACACGCGAGGCTCCAGCTGAATATTACCCCAATGAATCACGACGGGTTTCATGGCTGGAGAGGCTTTATATATCATCCCTCCTCCATGGCCTCTGCTTCTGCTCAGGGAAGGAGGGAACAAGGAGAAAATTTACAGGGTAAGTGGCAGCAAACCGCTCATGCTTTTATGATGGGAACTGGCCATTTCTACGGAGTTTTCCCCTTGGCACCGGGAGACAACTGCAGATCAGGGCAGCCTGAAAAGCTGGGACAAAGCTGGGCTTTCTGAAACCAGCAGTAACAGAGCAAAAAGTGAATTTTCTGGCTGCAAGGACACAACTAGAGACAGAAGCAAGCCATACCCATGCGCTGCCTGAAGCATCAGTATCAATCCCACCACACAGCTCGCACCCTCTCTTTGTATTGGTCCCTAAGGGGTTTCACCTCCTCTTTTATCTCCCCAGCTCCCTTCCTCCCTTTCATCAGAAGTTTACTACATCATTACAGGACTTGAACTGCCTGGGCACTGATGAAAGAGTTGCTACGTGAGCAGAGTCTGCTTCTTCTGGTGTGCAGTCCACTCCAGCAGCCCTGGTACATGGTAACTTCCTTTGAAGGGGAAAAATAAAGCAAAAATGGAAAAAAAAAAAAGACAGCCTTAGGAAGGAGGTAGAAAATTAGAGCAGAGGCTGGGTGATGCTACCAAAATGGACACAGTGGGTCTTGGGGCTGCGCAGCAGGATGGACCCACGCGGGGTCTGGTGCTGGTGGTGCCCCCAGCCCACCCACCTCCCCTGCTCCAGGCCTTCCCCAACTGAAACACCGCCTAAGCCTCTGCGACATTGCAGCTGGTTTGATGCAGCAGCTCAAATTTAAGGAAAAAAATAGAAATTCTATGTAATGAGGTTTCTCTACAATGCCCCCAAACCTCACGGCTCATTTAAGTAACAAGTTTAATGAAATTTCATTTCTTAAGTACACTATTTCAAACATCAGTATCTTTTTCCAATTACTAAACCCATCTGGATTTACTTACTGAACATCTATTCAG